TGGTGACACTGGCAGCACTTACAGGTCGGGTTAAATGTGGCCCCTAGAGTTCTGTGAATTCCTGACCTTGCCCCTATTTTGCAGACGAAGCAGCCAAGTGCCGAAGAGAGGGCCTCACTGGGCTGCAGGCGCGGAGAGGCCAGGGCTGAGCCTGGGAGGGAATGGGGTCTGACCCTGAACCACCAGGCAATCCTGCCTCTTCTCTTTCCTGGATCTGAAACGCGGCACTGAGCCGAGGGGAGGGGGGCCCACCCCCTCTGCTTGTCATAAAAGGTGGGACTTCAAAATAGACGTATTTAAATTCAATGGCTCCTGTTCTCCCATGAAACAGCGGGTATTTGTCAGAGATAAAGGATGAACCATTGACAACGCCCAGGTTTAAAATTTTTATTAGCTTAAGGCAGTGTATATATATAAAAGTGTACCTCTTCCCTCATTAACCCAATTCAGCTCCCACCCTGCAGTCTGCCACCCACCACCTGCCTGGATTTCATTACACACAAAGAGCTGTCTGCAAAGGCGGGTCGTGGCACGCGGGGCTGCTGGAGCCGGGGCGCAGAGCGGGCCTGCTGTCCATCACCGTGCAGACCCCCATCATCTCTGCGCGGCGGCCCCGCCTCTGGCCCATCTCATCTCTGCGGAGTCACCATGGAGAATGGCTTCCCGGACCCTCTCTAATGTTTGGTTTAACGTGTCGCCGGTTAGCACGCGCGTGTGACAGTGGTGACAGGCGCGGCTGTTCCTTTTTAAATACCATGTCAGCGACGCGGCGTCAGGAAGCAGGGACGTGCTCTGTGGCTCGCCGCCGCGCCGGGAGCGCACGGGCTTATTTTTTAATGAGGACGATCTGCATCGTGAGAGTGTGTTTCATGTGTCACATCGCGTGGACAAACCAGCAGCACGTCACGCTGGCCCGGAATGAAATGCTGACAAATGTAGATATTTCAAATTTAATTGACATTTAAATGTACTTGCGATCGCGGAGGGGAAGGGGAAGGAAGAGCGGAAAGGAAGCCAGCGCGGACTTGGTCTCAGGAGGTAACGGAGGGGCGCTGGTGGTCGGGCTGAAAAGCGTCACCGTTCCACACAAAGGGTCTTCCCTGTGAACGTGTCCTGGCTGCTCTGCCCCCCTCCCCACCCCACCCTCGCGGAGACATAGTTGGGAGGGGGTGCACGCTGGGGGGGCAGGTGAGGCTGGGTCCTGCCTGTTCAGTATGGGCAGGTGACCTTGGCAAAGTCACTTTACTTCATGAGCCTCAATTTCTTATCTGTAAAATGGCGGAGGGGGTTTTATACCGTTCTGGATAGTCTTACAAAAGTCAAATGGGAATATGTGCAAAATGCTTTGAATCCCAAACGGGACTCGGCAGACTCCCTGAGACCCTAGAGGGCAGCATCGCACTGCTATTGTGGACAGCTGGCACACAGTATCCTGCGATCCACGTGGCGCGTTTCCATCCTGTGCAGGGGTCTCCCCTGGGTGTCCACGGAGGAGCGTCAAGGAAGGGTCCCTGCCTTCAAGATTACGCAGGGGCGCTTGGAGAATCCAGTCCCCACTGGGCTGAGTTCCACGTGCACCCCAGGGCTTAGTCGATTGCCAAGCCTTTCTTCTGAGGAGCCTCTGGGTAGACTCAAACTGTCGAGCTTTGGGTTAGCGTGAAATCTCTGCGCCACTCAGGGCCTGGGTGTATCACAGGGTTCCAGAATCATCCGAGAGAACTCCTGCCAGGCCCTCCTCTCCTGTGCCCGCC